TTCTGCTGTCTCCTCTGTCTGTGCGCTAAAAGCTGCTCTGTTCGTCCAATCACGGATTCTACTTTCCTCAATGGTGGGACATTTTCCCTCAAAGTACATTTTACTCTCAGGACGTATCCATTTCTTTTTTCAGGGGGTAAAAGCTACATTTCCGTTTCAGTCTGTTGCAGAGTGAACAGGTGGTAGCTGCATATGTCTCTGAGTAAGCAGCAAATCTGGGCCACGCGATACAAGTCCAGTTTATACATGAATTATGAAGAGCAGGACAGCGTCACAAATGTTTCCAGCCTCTTCCCTGTTTAATGCCACAGAGGAGCTGATGGGAAGAGGGTTTCTCTGATGCCAAAGAAGTGAGAGAATTACACCAATACATGCATGCTGTTTGCAGAATACTCAAACTGCATTAAAAAAACCAAATTCTGTGAGAAACTGAGAACTGTTTCCAAACTAGACAGACCACAAAAATCAACAGCAGGTCAAAGAAGACAAAATGGTTTATGGTTATATATTCAAAAGTGTTTAAATGCGTTACGACATCTAAAATATCATCTGACTTATTTCAAAATCACTGGATGAAAAAAAACAACGAAACACGGGCATTGAAATGAAATGAAAGACCCATGCTTCCTATAGTTGACCCTCTTCGTTCCCCTAAATGGAGTAACTGATCCCTCACGCTAATGCTAATGCTAATACTGATCTGTATCCCTCACGCTAACGCTGCTGCATGATCAGAATGACATTGTGATCTTTCGATTTTTAGCACAACCATCGTTTCTCAGGAGATAAAATGTGTCCGAAAATCACACAGTTGTCAATTTGCCAACTGCAGATTAGAAAATCAAACAAGTGGGAAACATAAGACCTTGTTGTTCTAATTGTCTGATTACCTTGACATGTTTCCAACTATCTCAAACATGGAATATGGCCGTCGGTCCTGCCAACCTCATGGTCTCATTTCAAAAGCCCTTTCCCCCCCTCTTCTCAGGCCAGACGTGCTTTATAAACACATCAGCGTTATAATATGTGCCACTGTACTGCTGCCAAATCTGCCAATTAATCCTGATTTGACCCAAAGAAAGTGGGACACAGAAAGCAGATCAAATGATGCTCTCAGCAAAGCCACGCTCGGCCGGCAAAATGCAGCAGAGCACTTTTACACATCCAAGAGCAGCACTCGGAGGCTGGAGACACCGCACAGAAGACATAAAGCAAACGTCCGGTCAGGGGCTGGCCTTTATGTCCTTATAGAAGATCAAGGCAAAAACACATTTTGAAGTTACAACACCCCATAGTGGAACATGTTTTCTCTGTGACTTGCCTTTTTAAATCCAGCCCATTCATCGGGTAAATTTTCAAGAAGCCAGAAGTTAAATATAACACGTTTATCCAATTCATAGCAATGTGAAAAGATCCAGGCCGACTGAATGAATGGACATGCTAAATACAGTCATAATGAACAGTGATATTAGTAAGTAAGTAATGTTTATTTATATAGCGCCTTTTTACAGACCAAGGTCACACAAAGCGCTTTACAATGTTCAGAGTTCAGATATTGTTCCGATCATTCCACACACGGTGAAGACGGAAGCGAGTCGCCGAACACACTGGTGCCTCAAAGCCTCCAACCAAACACCATCCATTCACTCACTCACCCGGAGGGAAGATACGCAGACACGGAGAGAACATGCAAACTCCACACAGAAAGGCCCTGTTCCAACTTGGATTGACTGAGAGGTGAGAAATAAATCAAAAGAAGACAAAGAAAAGTACAAGTCATCACGTATAAAGGGATTTTTACACCCTTAAAGACAGTGTACAGCAAAACCAACCTCAAACAATAAACAAAGTTCTGCAAGACACACAGAAATAGAAATAATAAGTCAGCAAAAAATCATCTGTCAAAACACACACACAATACTGCAACGTTCCTCCGTCACCGCCCCGTGCTTTCTGAGACCCAAAATCATTCCCTGGTGGAAGTGACTCCTCTCAGCGCCGAAGGAAACAAGAGCTGCATTGATGCCGGTGACACTGCACAAAGAGCCACTCCACACTTTCACCACACTTTGGGCCAATTAGAAGGAATGCTAGTCTCCCGAGCCGATCTGAGCCACAAACAGCTTTTCCCGCCGCATTCACAGGATTCCAGACTCCAACATTTGACAAACTACAAGTGACAAGTGCCCCGTGAGTCGGAGAAACTTGTCACCAACCAGAATCGTACAAGTTGCAGGTCAGATGAGTTGATGATAATAATGGCGCAGTTTAAAGCTGGGGTACTTACATTTTCAAACCATGCGACTGCAACTGTAGTTTCCGGCTCTAAAACAGTTTGGTTCCATTACTGGTTTTCACACAGTCTCCGTCACATCTTTATAGATCAGATTTTTTTGGACAGAAAACTGAAAAAGAGCCCTCACTCACTCTTAACCCAAAGATTCAAAAGGTGACTTGAAAAGATTTGTTCAGAACCTTTTACTTTTACAAAATTCTTTCCGTTGAGAGAAACATAACATACTATTGACAGAAAAGTTAGGTTTTTATTGCTGTTTGTGAAATGAGGTCAAATAATAATTATATTTTACATTTTTATAACTCAAACAAAACAAAGTAAGCAAACTGAAAGCAGAATAACAACATTGCATACAATAAATGTTGCAGACCACTGATTTAATGCACACTAATTAGCACAATCTAGGCTTCAAAAACCAGAATATTCAAACCAATAAGTTACAGAGACTGGACATCCGATATGCACTTTTTGCCCTAGAGGGTTTCCCCTGCGTCCGTGCATCCGTTTGCATGTGATTGACCCATAAGTTTTCTCCTCAATCCAGTGCACATTATGTTTGTGTCTCTGCAGCCAAACAGTTTAATCCTTAGAGAAACACTACAGTATCATGCTAACGAGCTACGGCTAATGCAAATTAGGAAAGAAGAATCTCAAACAACTGTTTTTGAGGATTTTCATGGCCAGAATGAGATGAATTCTTTAGGGCCTATGCTTAAACTTAAACAAGCCAAAAGAATACTATTTATCTTAAAATCTAAGTTGGTTATGAAAATACAAACAGCTCATTATTTCATTATTGTGAGCAAAAATCATTAATTCATTCCAGTTTCAATGGTGAAATCCCGTTGATTTAAAATAATTTTGGGGGGGGTCATTATTGAACTAAACTGTGATATATTTTCAGATCATTTCTATTCCTAAAAATAAATGAAAATCACATTTTCTTCACTATATTGCCACAATATTGATCTAAAATGCCTGCTAAATGAACAGGTGAATTGACCAGCTCCCCGCCTCCTCAAAGGGCTAATATAATAAATGAGTACAGAGAAAAGGGTGGAGATAGGTGGTAGGTGAAATAGATTAGAATGCCTGGACAGTAAAGAGTTACTCTATGCAGGAATTATATAAAAACGTTGAGCATGATAAAAAAAATCCTAATCCTGTAATGAGGTTAAAAGCCAAGCTAGCAAGGCCTTTTACATCATACGTCCCCTTTAAGATCCTCTCGAGTGAAAACAAAATCATATCACACAAGAAATCCAACAACCCGTGTGGTCTGCTCACATAATGACCGCTTATTCAGTTACTTTTAATTCTACCACACACCTAGTTTTTGTCTAATAATAGAACCATAAACAGAACGTTTTGGCCTTGTTGAGTGGGAGAGGGACTAATCCTAAACATATGACAGCAGCAGTAAGCAGAGAGAGGGACTCTGAGAGGAAAAATGTGAGGTATTTGAGCCGAGCGAGTCCAAACATGCAGTGACAACTATGTAACCTGTTAGGAAACACGTCAAGTGCATTGGCAATTCACAAATTCAGAGCAGACTGCAAAAAGGAGCCAGGCTTATAATCACTTGAATTTAGGTTAGTATACTATTTTGATGTCATTTTTTTTTTACTGGGGTAGACGGAATATCTGGATTTTAAGGTAGAAGAAATAGCTTCATTAAAAAGAACCCCACTCTCTAGAACTGGAGCCCAAACTAGGAACTCAGACTCAAAGCACCAGCTGCATTGCCATAATAGAGTTTGAATATTTACACACCCGGCCAAAGATGTCATTGTTTTGGCCAGATTTATGAATGAATTACTCGCCGTTAGTGGTTGTATGAAGCCATATATAGCCAGATACGTTTTCTATTTTCAAACTATATAACATCAATGAGCTGCTTGAGATCTCCAAAGTGCAGTTCATGCTAGTAGGAGGCCCATGAATTTACAAGAAGTGGAGGATTTTTTGCTTAGAAGAATAGGAAACTTTATATTCAGAGAGAATACAGAACCTCATCCACAACTACCACAAGACTCAAAGGCAAGCTGTCAGATGTTAAAGGGGAAATATATGTTAATGAGACCAGAGGATGCAAACTTCTAACCTAAAAGAGATACGATTATAATTTTCAATTAAATAATAAACACTTATTGACAACAAATGGCTTCACACAACCACAAGCAATGGGTGAAAAATACGTTTTTGCATTATCATTCATTCATTATCTCCTAAGTATGGCCAAATAACTGAGATGCAACTCTTTCACAGTCTGAGCCTTATACGTAAGACTCAAGATAAGACAACTTAGTTTTAAAGGGCAAACACAATCTTGGCATAAAAAAAAGATTTCTTTCTAAGTAGGCTCCAGTTCACATCCAAGTTGTTACATCCATGAAAATGACAACAGACTATTCTTGCATATTTCCATGTCTTATAGTGATGCTTTTGCCTGTCTATAACAGAATCTGAAAACCTCAAAGTCAGATTTAACAGGGAAGGAAGAAAACTTATTATAATATGAATAATAATACATCCATGAAGGGAACGCATCAAAACACACACACACATGCCTTTAATGTAAGGTTCCCATTAAAGTGCTAAAATACTCTTCAACCAATCAACCAGTCTAATTTCAACACATCCTTGCCATTTCAAACCCCAAACACAGTCAAAAGTGTACAGTAGTAGACTTGGAGTAGCTTACCTTGTATCGTTCACGCTATGGGGATATTACTGGCGTCGTGGCTGCAATCTCCTCTTTGAGATATATATATATTATTATTTTTAGCTTTGAACCATCAATACAAGCGATTGGGGAAAAAAAGGTCCAGGCGCTTGAAAAGTCCTGCAATATAGTTTGAAGTAGCGGCAATCAAAGCAGACAGGAGAATATTGAGCCGAAAAGCAGCAGCGGCGTCCCATTCAATTAAACAGGCAAAAGGCGGTTTGGGAAAGTCATGTCGGTGAATGGATGAGTACGCGCGTATTTCTCATGTGATGGTATTTCCACTTTAAAGAGTACGATATAATAGTGGTAAAAAGGCGAAAATGTAACGCGGTTTGAAGCGAGGATCGGCTGCAGTTGCTGTGTGCCACGCTGCGCAAAAGGAACCAGGAATCCAGACCAAAACATTGGGCTGTGATCATAGACAGCGGAGGGGGAAAGGGGCGGGTCTATAGGCTGAACTCGGACTCTGATTGGTGCTTTCTTTAATAAATACTGGAGATTTGGTTGAACGCGAAGGGGTTGAATCAAAGCCACGCCTTAATTTTACTGTATGAATTAAACAGGTTATGACGTGCCAGGGCTTTTCCACCTGCAGGTAAACTGGAAATTAGCTGCAAGTTGAGACGCATGTATTCCTGGTTTTAGAGCTGCTTTGGACTCGGTCTGATCTCAGCTGCTTTTGCAATAAACTTTACATTAAAATCTAGAGCAAGAGCCTATTTTTTTGTTATAAATCTTATGTGCTGGAGAGACAAATGTCATAGCCTCTTTTCTTCTGTCCAGCTTGTGTGATGTGCTTTCATATGATCATAGCAAAGACGTTTAAGTACAGGGGTTGTTTGTTTTTTTAGTAATATCAATTTTTAGGATCAATACATAAATATCTGTGATACTACCCTCATGTTTGTAAGACATTGTAATTCAAATATTTCATAAAAAAACAAAACAAAAGGCCCTTTAGTCCTTACTTGCTTTCTGTGCTATACATACACACATTGATGTCATATCGTTCTGTTGACATGATTCAGTCAGATATGCGCGTGGGGACGTGTATACCATCACAGTTGTTCTAAAATTCATTTGTCATATAGCAGTGAACTCATGCCTCAAAGTGGTGAAATGCCTCCCTCTTCTGTTCATTTAACAGATTACAGCACACAGAGAAACATGGACACAGCCACTTTAATCAACACGAAAACAATAGCAGCTGGATTATTCTAGTAAACTAGTGAGTAATCGATTATTAGCTTCAGTAATCTTTAACTGCATATTCATTATATATTTCATGGGAAAAGTGTGTTTCAAATACAGGTTAAAAATCGGAAAATTAGAATATAATAATTGTGTGTATAACGCAGTTTACACGTGCAAACACATCTCAAAGTGTTCGTTACATACTTTACATACATGATGTATCAATCCTTTCTTTATCTTTCGTTGATAATTGACTCACAGCTTTTAAAAACATATTTATGAAAATGGATCAACATTATTACAAATAAGGTCGACATAAGTCCCTTTGCATATGATGAGTCTGTGTTATATAATGGTTTAAAATGTTAAGTTGAATTACAGAAATAAATGAGCAATTGAACAATATTCTAATTTTCCAAGTTTCACCTGAGTGGCAACATCAGTATTTCTTTGTTCAGAGCAGTGTTGGCCTCATGCACAAACACTTCTGTGAGAAACCAGTTCCAGGATGAGTTCTGAGTGCTTGATGTAGATCAAAATATGTTTTAGTAGTTATGAAAGTTAACTGAATAACAAGGCAAACAATCTGTGCTTTTTTGTACTCAGATACTTGATGAATTGTTTAAGCCACAAAACAATAGCACCTATGCAACACATGAATCATTATAAACAATAACATTTTGGACACTCACGTTAAGTCTAAAGACGTTTGAAGGTGAAATGAGAGGCACAGAACAAATACTTTACTTGCTGCTACAAACTTCAATAAATGTTTCTGTCAGAGGTGTTCTTCAGCTGACCCAGTGCCCGGCCATAGGGGCTGTAGAAGTCCAGAAAGTGCACTGTTTTTATTTAGATTGCTGTATAATAATTCTTCTCAACAGGACGTAGGACCCATGTTGTATTTTGCATTGTGTTGCCATGGCAAAAGAGAACATCCAATGTTCTTTCCCAGTCTTTCCAGTGTCAGGATGAACTGCAAAACATTGGCGCACAGAGGGATGAGTGCACGTCAGCACCATCTCTAGGAGTTATGGAACTCCTAGAGAGCTGAGGTGTAGCTCACGAGGGCTGTTCAATGCTGCTTGCGGCTAAAATGTCATCTCTTCTCCTGGTCACAAATAAAAGCAGTGTGGAGGGTATTTTCCTTTCCAAAACACATGGTATTTACTGAGACATAGTCCATATAGTCACAGATCTGGTCTCAGAGGAAACATGGTGTCGCTCTCCAGAGACAGGTCGCTGGCTCCGTTGCCATGGTTATGAAGGAGGAAACGCGAGCGCCGGTGCAGCGCCCTCTGCTGGAGCAGCTTCAGCTCCAGGTACGAGCGTGAGAAGGTGTGGAAGATGGAGGTGACGGGGAAGGCCATGAGCAGGATGCCACTCAGGATGCTGCTGAGGGCCACCACCTGGCCGGGCAGACTGCGCGGAACCATGTCCCCGTACCCCACTGTTGTCATGGTGATCACCGCCCACCAGTATGTGGCCGGGACACTGGTGAACTCCTGCACTGGCGCTGCAAGGACAGAAGTATTCAGACACTAGTCATAAGAGTCTGTTCACAGAGTAAGTGTTTTTGAAAGACTTATTTACAAACAATCACGCTTTAAGTTTAACCCTTTAATGTTCACTCCTCAAAGAAAAGACATTTTTATTTGTTCTACTTTCTAAGATGTAGGAGCATTAATAACACAAACAACTATTTAGTTATTTTAATTATTGGTCTTTACCAAATGGTAGAGATGCAGTTTGATGGTAAAAGTGCATAAAACCATGTGATAGAGATGCCCCAATGAGGTAGATTTCAGTTCCAAGTTTCAAGTAGAAAAGGCCTCAAACAGTGATCCACCAAATGGTTGAGGAAACCATTAGAGGGTATCGTAATCACCATAAGGGTTAAAGCAGTTTCATAAAGGGTATTATGAGATGCACAAATAGAACATTTTACTAAAAAAAATGTAAAATGTAAGAACTACCATACCATGCATGTTTGAGTAATGTATACTCTTTTGAAAGTAGCCATTGCTCAGAGCTATTCCCAGACCCATTTACCCACTGTTCCTCACTGACTATTTTTAATCTGAGATACATTATACATTGAGCTAAAAAAAAATGTGAAGGTATAATGACTCAGAGATAGATTGTTATGAACACTTATCTGTGGCCCACTGCTTCTAACATGTGAAAAAAGTACAGCAGACAAAAAACTCCAATAGAAGCATGATGTATTCGTGGGCAGAGCTCCCACCTCTTGCAGAAGCCATCTCAGTCTCGATGAGGAAGAGGAGTGGTGAGTAGAGTGCGATGGCCACACACAGAAACAGCAGCAGGAGTCCAAACTCGCGTGTGCATCGTCGAGCTGTGAGTCCCAGCGTCTGGAGCCCCAGGGAGTGACGGGCCAGACGCATCACGTACAGGATCCTGAGCGCCCGCAGCACCCGCAGCACCAGACCCACTTTGTCCAGGTACGAGCCCCCAGAGCCCTGTGGGACAAGGGGCACTGTGTGGGTGCATGTTATGTGTATGTTGTTATGGATATCTTATTTACAGTCTATGGTTGTAACTGCAGCGGGAGAAGAGGTATCACTGGCTAAAGTTCCACTGGTCAGCTACGGTGTGGTGTGGTCCGGTATATGGTCTGGTTTTTCATTCAGTTTTGCCAGCCGACAAAACTGAATGAAAAACCACTATGGTCTTTACCGTAGTGATTAAAAGTAGAAGAAAAATACCCTAAATTAGGGTCTAAATGACCAAGAGTTGGTTAAGTTGGGAAAAAATCATCAAAATTCAACTAGAAAAAATGTAGGGTATTTATGTTCTACGTCATGGTGCTACGTCCCTTAGGACTTCGCTAGTGGGATATCACTCGTGACCCCCAGGTCACACGCCAGAGAGATCAAAATAATTTGCTCCAATCACCAGCCACCTTCCTCTATAAATGCCCCTGCACAAGGCCGCACCCCCTCTTTCACTCTGGCGCCGATTGAGATCTACCGTTCAATTTTACCAGAGAAAAAGATGTCTTCTGATGCTCGTCCGAGTTCCCCTTCGCCATCCGGCGTCGGACGTCGTCGTTGCTCGACTTGTCGGGTCAAGCTCCAGCGCAAGGACCAGCACTCCAGCTGCTTCGTGTGCCTGGGTTCGGGCCTGGGTTCGGGCCATGCGGCGTTGAGCGCCACCTGCGCCTCGTGTCTCGCTCTCCCCAGGGAGGAGAGTGAACGCAGGCGCGCGTTCTTCGCCGCTACAGCGCCCCGTCCGGACTCCTCTCAGGACGAGGAGTCTGTGATTGACTGGGCCCCTCTTGACCCTCCACCCGTGCCCGCGGAGTGGGGTGACTGCGAGGACGGAGAGGTTTCGGAGGTCGGCTCTCTCCTCACGCTGGATGAGGTGGTGTCCAACCCGGAGCCGGACCGCTTCCCGCTGGACCACATGCCTGGGCTCTACTCCACTGCGGCGGCCATCATGGATGCCCCCCTGCCACGGCAACCGAACCAGAGGGAGGAGTACTTCACCTCTGGTTACGCCACCACTCGAGGGAGGAGGAGGACGCAGCCCACGTTGTGCCCGCGGATGGACCCGATCGTCCATTACGCGACACGTGAGTGGCCAAAGCCCCTAGCGGCCAAGAGGCCCGCTTTGGGGTACGGCATGTACTGCAACGTGCAGGACTGGTTCTGGACCGGCGGGGTCCCGGACATCGAGGACTCGGTTCGAGCGGCCCTGCACCCCTCCGCATCCGTGTGGCCCGGCACCAGACCTCTCCTTCCCTCCGAGCGGGACAGGACGTCTTTGGCGATGCACGACAGATGTTACGCCAATGCGGCACAGGTCGTCGCTGTGGCGAACAACATGGCCTTCATCACCGGGGCCCTGGATAGGTCGCTCTCTTCTGGCCAGGCGCTCAGTGGAGACACCTTATCTCAGGCGAGGACCACTTCAGCGGCGATCCTGCGCATGTGCCAGGCGCTAGCTGTCGATGGCGGCCGCACCATGGCAGCAGCACAAGTTGGGGCCAGGCACCTCTGGCTGGGGCTGGCGAACATCAGGGAGGCGGAGAAGAGGCAGCTGCTGGACCTGCCCATCTCCCAAACGTCACTCTTTGGTCCGGAGATGCAGACCCTGATGACTAGGCTGGACACCGCAGCTAAGGACTCTGCTAGCCTAGCCCAGCATTTAGCAACGAGGCGCGAGGCCCGCCCACCAGCGCTGAGCCGAGACAGAGGCAGGGAGCGCTCGCCCGGCAGGCGCCCCGGACCATATCCACGCTCCGTGGCTCATCGTCCCCCAGCGACGAGGCCCCCAGGTCCAGACAGACACACGGGAGGCTCGCGGGACCAACGTACCCACCGCCGACCTCCCTATGGCAGAGGAGGTCGGGGCGGTAAGAATTCGTTCAATAAAAGCCGACCGGGGGAGAGCCGCTAGGGGCGCGTCATGGAATAGACGTGTGAAACTCGAGGTCCCTACATCCTTATAAAAGTACGTTTTAATTTGCACTATTTTTTGTGTGTGATACACTCGCTGGACTCTGGGCACTTTTCCAACGTGCCTTTGAATATTTGAGACGGAAAGATGCCTCCAAAGAATGCCAAATCGACAGCTAGTACTACAGGTGTTAGCAAAACTGATGATCAAGCTAATTCCTCCGCTCACGCTGCTGCCCCGCGGGCTATCGTTGCTAGCAAGATGATGATTGATACAGACACACTGGAAACCTTTCGTGACATCGTTAAAGAAGTTATTAAAGCAGAAAATGACGCCCTACGAGAAGAAATCAACAGGGCTGTGTCGCCAATCCACCAGATGCTTGAGGATTGCCATGACAAACTACGCAACCACGAGCACGAACTGACCGCGCTGGACACACGAATGTTAGCTATGGAGGCTAATTGCAAGGAGATGAGCAACAGGTACGAGAAACTACAGCTAAAAATTGATGACCTGGAGAATAGAGGAAGACGATGCAACCTTCGCATTTTAGGGGTGCCTGAAGGGCTGGAACAGGGCAATCCGAGTGGATTCATAGCTGAACTGTTATATAGGGTGCTTGGTGATGGCCCAAATGGGTTGGAGAAGCCCCCTGTTTTGGATCGAGCGCACCGAACTGCTACGCGGGCAGCAGCTGACGGAGGAAGGCCGCGGCCATTTATCGTCTGTGTCCACCACTATCAAGAAAAGGAACGCATTCAGCGCCTCGCAAGGGAGAAGGGTCGACTGGAGTTTCATGGAAAACAAATCCTAACTTTCCGGACTACAGTGCAGATCTGACCAGACGCAGGGCAGCTTTCAATGAGGTAAAAGTTTCACTCCGACAACAAGAGGGAGTTCGTTACGGGCTCCTCTACCCTGCTCGACTCCGTGTCTCCTATAATGGTGAGACGAAGGTATTCAACACTCCCAGTGATGTGAAAGACTATATTGGCTCAAGGTTTGGGAGGAACGAATAAAACTTTCGTGTTGGGGCGAGAACCGATAGTGGACTAGCGTTAAACTAAGTGATCACCAAATGCACATGTTACTTGTTATTTGCACTGATACTAAGAATAATATTGCCTAATGTGTGCGTGTACCAATGTATGACTGTGAATATACGTGTACTTGAGCTGCTAATGTTATTACGTTTTGAAATGCTCCCAGAGCGGCTTTTACTTACTTATTTTGAGGTAACTATTTGGCCCAGTGCTTTGGGCACTGGAAGGACTGGGTACACAGTATTATTGTTATTGTTGTTGTTATTACTTTTTATTATATATATCTTTTATTTTAATTATTATTATTGTTCAGCCACTATTCCACGCAATTGTTTATATCCTGTAATTATTATTGGGTTTGATACAATTGGATGTTGTTAACATAAGATACGTACTGTATTATTTTTATTATGTTCTAATGAGGGACAAAGGGCTTAAGGTGTAGAATGGGACTCTCAGTGGAAGTAGGAAAGCTTCGGGTAATATGTGTCTGTCGATTGGGGTCAGCACAAGGGGGAGGGGGAGTGGGGTTTCTTTGTTTACCTGTTCAAATTTTTTTTTTTTTTGTTATACCATTTTGCAGATGACAACTAACTGTGTTTTTGAGGTTACAATGGCGCGGATCTATAATTTCTACTGTAAAGAAAGTCATGATGGTAACCACGTCTGATCAAGCGATTCCCGTAACCAATGGCTGCCATGTAAATTTCATCAGCTGGAATGTGAGAGGATTAAATCATCCGGTCAAATGTAATAAGGTACTGTCTCATCTTCTACATTTCAAAGTCAACATAGCATTCTTGCTAGAAACTCACTTAAAAAATGTACAGCAAAAAAGGCTGAAGAGAGGATGGGTTGGACAAATCTTCCATTCAAACTTTAATACTAAGGCAAGAGGCACAGCTATTCTTATTAATAAAAACACCCCATTTATTGTCTCTAAGACAATAGCGGATCCTAATGGACGTTACATAATCGTATCCGGCTCATTATTTAATACTCCGCTTATTTTAGCAAATGTATATGCCCCTAATTGGGATGACCAGAAATTTTTTAATAATCTCCTTCACTCACTACCTCAGATTAATACGCATCATTTGATATTTGGAGGTGACATGAATACAGTTATGAACCCGTCTCTGGATCGTTCTTCGGCCAAATCATTGACCGTTTCAAAATCAACACAAACATTACAATCTTATCAACAAACATATGGACTGGTTGACGTTTGGCGACATTTTAACCCTACTACCAAACAATATTCCTTTTTTTCACCAGTGCATCAAACATACTCGCGTATAGACTATTTTTTTCATAGATAAGAAGATGATCTCTGATGTTGTAACCTGCAGGTATGAAAGTATAGTTATCTCTGATCATTCTCCCATGATTTTAGAATTAAATTTTCCTAATGAGCCTTTCACATATTCATGGAGACTCAACTCATTATTGCTCTCTGACGATACATTTGTGCAACATATCTCTAAACAAATTGATATTTTTCTAGAGACAAATATAACTCCTGATGTGACCTACTGTACAATTTGGGAAAGTATGAAGGCCTTTTTGCGGGGTCATATAATATCATACTGCTCACATATTAAAAAGCAAAGAGAAAAACGTGCTACTGAACTAACCCATCTTATTTCACAATTAGATACACAGCATTCTTCCAACCCAACTCCAGAGTTGTATAAACAGCGTCTGGTCTTTCAAACTGAATTTAATCTTATATCGACTCGACAAGCTGAGCAAATGATGCACAAGTCAAGAAGGTTGTGGCATGAGCATGGAGAGAAGGCATCCAAGCTGTTGGCACACCAGCTGCGTAAGTCAGAATCTGCCCAATTTATCTCCAAAATTAGAACTCAAAGTGGAGAGATCTCTGCTAATCCCAAAATAATAAATGATAGCTTTCAAACATTCTATGCTGACCTTTATAAGTCTGAGTCTTTGAACTCATCTGACTTATTTGATGAGTTCTTTGAGAATCTACCTGTTCCAACTCTGCA